ACGTTGATTGTTGTCGGTAGTGTTCATCTGCAATAGAAAATTTCATAGCCATGGTTCAGCCATATCGGAGAGGCTGAGATGTTAATCTTACTTGTATACTAGACGATGTGAGGGAGCAAATGGTCTGTGCAATCTATATATAGTTTTGAAACCGTGCGTTGTCTTGGGAACTGAGCAATCGGCTATTTGCTTTAGTCAGCCAATGGCCAAAATGTCCTCATATTCGACTAATTGCGCATATTTCTTACGTGGCGAGAATGTCCTCATATTCGACCATTGCGGGTGGGGGTGTGGGTGTGGGGTGTGGGTGGGTGTGTGTGAGCGTCACTTTCAGGGAGGTCTCAAACATTTACTCCCACACCCACATCCAATATGAAATACATACTTCAAGAATTGCTCTCACCGTGTTACGTTTTAATATATTCACTATACATGGTCTTTTTTCTTAGTTGAAATACGAATATAGAAAATCTAAAGTGATCAATGCCTAATTGAAATCTCAAACGGCATTTTTTCTTTTAAATTTTTATTTTCTATTAACAGATTCTACTGACATTGATAAGTAAATTCTGATGAGAATGTTTTAATAGAAATCTTAATTGTATATTTGTATGATGCCTTTTATAAATTTCTAAAAACTGTTTTGAAACTTTTGCTAATGTAAATATAGGAACTATTTCATAGGCATGTTGTACAAACATGAACTGATAAAATTATAGATAAATATTGATGAAATTTTAGTTATTCTAGATGATTAATCAAAACTTTGAATTAAAGTCAATTTTTGAAACGTTCATCGATAAACAGGCCATCATTTTTTTTCATGAATTGAAAAAGAATCATTTTTCTAGCTTCTTGTTTTTTACGCGAGCAATATTGATGTAAAACAATTCTCTCAACACAAACCCGATGTACTAGAGTGTATAAGAATTCAAAAGCACCATTTACATAGGATTTTCTACCACTATATAGGAAACATATAGAACACTGATTATCTCGAACGGACATCTTCGGAGTTCTAACGAACTCTACACAAAATAACTTTATCAGAAGAAAGTAAGATTATTTATGAATAAAAAAGAAACAATAATAACTTATCTATCAAAACCAATTGAATCAAGTATTAATATATAATTAATTAGTTCTAATATTAATTATGCATTAAATTATCCAAATATAAATTGGAAATCAGTTAGTGTTAATTCATCAACACAATCATACATTTTAAAAGTTCTTTTGTTTTGTGCATCGATACAAAAACTAATCAAATGTTTTTTTCTAATTTTAGATGTAATGACATGAAAATCATATTTAATATCTATACTACCAGTCGTTAATAACGTTGGTGTATTGGTCCAGCAAGTGAAATAATTAAAGTTCGTACACTTGAAGGCACAGCAATACGTACACGAACAATTATTCAATTTGAACCAGTTAATTCTATAGCAATTATGATTAAATGGCAAGATTCATCTTTATCATATATTAATGAAATTCTGAATTCATTTAAAGCGAGACAAATTTACAAACCAGATAAATTGAATAACTAAAGTGTTTTTGTTTGGTTTTAGATTGAATTTATTGATCTATACAAGAAAAAGAGTGTTCTTTTCTTGTGTTATGATTATTTTAGTGAATTTTCGAACCATTGCAGAATTTTAGTCTGAAATTTTACCTGAAGACAGATCTCAGTGTCATTATGGAATGTTGGAAGTTTCAGCGAAAGCGAATGGTTTCTTCTTCTGAAGATATTGTCCACTCAAAAAAGAAACTATGTTTTTTTGAATGGTTTGCAAGAAACTAGTGATTTTGCATTTCTATTATCTTAAAACAAAAATAGCCAATTCTGCAGGATATTATAAGAATTATGAGAACTATCTTCAAGTAGCATGTCAGACTGAAATTCTACGATTCATTTTTTCTCGTAATAATCAATAATAATCGGAAAATTCTTTAAAATGATCATAATTGAAGAAGAAAGCCCTCATGGTATTGATCCTGTTCAAACTTTTATCTGCACAATGGACGAATTCGAACGAACATTATCAATTCAAAAAGCTAATAGAAATCAAAGGCTGCTGAGTACATTACAAGTAAATTTTATGCTTAGATTCTTCTGGAACATTCGAGGACATTTCAAATCCTTCGTTGAATTTCCAATGGTCATAAATACGATAAATAAGCAAATGTATGATACATGGCATTATATTAACAAAGTCCTCATACAATCGAGTTCTAAATTTCAGCATGAATCAATATAATAGTTTCGATATATCGTTTTGAATATATCAAACGGATATATACATAAAGGGAATTTGTCAAATTGTTAAAAAGTTCATAACAAAATATATCTCCAGTCGCAATACCAAATAAGTAAAGATAGAATGTTTTTCTGCTAGTTGATTATCCTTGAAGATAAATTCTTAAGTTCATGTGTTTCGTATTAGTAAAATGAATCTAAAGATGATAGCTTATGATAGTGTTCATAATGCACTAAGTTCACCACAATTTTACCTTACATCTTTCAAGATTCAAACACATAGTTGATTTTTTTCTTTTTGCCAAATATTTGCTTTTTCAAATAGGCTCATATAGAAATTGTATTCATTATTCCTTTCTTGTGGTAAAATTCTTTTTTTCCAAATTCCTGATCAACTAGAAAATTTAACATAAATTGGCAATACCTATTTGATATCAATGGTTATTTAATCGACTATGAAGTCGAATGGTATTAAAATGAATAACATACAATCGAATTTCATTGATAGTTCAATAATTGAAATCGAGCCTAATTTAAAAACATCCAAAAAGTGAATAACTTATTAGCAAAAATTAGAAGAGATTTTGATTTAAAACGTTCTGTAACAACAAAATTTTTACCTAGTTATACTAGTAGAAAAAAATATTTTACGATATATTGTTTAAATCCAAATGAGAAGTTATTATTCACAATAAGCAAAATATTCAAGTAAATAAGAAAATAATTTTCTTAAAATTAAAAGAAAAAATTTCAATTAAATATTTTCTAGTCTTTTCATAATTATTGAACAATCAATATTATTTTTTCATAATAGACTTTATCAAATACAAACGTTAGTTCACCATCTATACCGTTTTTGTAGAATAGATGCTTTCAAAATAACATGACTTTCAGTCAAAAAGTAGATTATAAGGTAACATCTAAATAAAGATTCCAACCTTTAGATATCTAATAATTTTAACAAATAGCTTTTTTCCTATTCGAAATCTTAATATTTTTACTGGAATCTGTAGTTTTTGATTTTAATGGAATTTTTAAATTCTTCAATGTTGTTGCTGAGGACAAAAGTGACCAATCCTATAACATTCCATAATTGGTATATGGCTGGCCAGAATATTACTACTTGATACGTCACGAGTTGCTCTAGAAAATGGTATAGATGACTTTATCTATTGAACGTTTGTTATCTGTTCTGACAAAGTTCTTTAAAATGAAATATTCTCGTCGGTTACAACCAATGAATAGAATTCAATCGTTAAAAATAGAATTATTATTTAATAATTTATTATCAGCAAATATTGGAATTGATTCAATAAATGGAACATTTGCTAGAATTCGTTGTGATTCATTAGATTCTATTGATAAAGGATATCCATATAGTCAATCAGTTATACTTATAACAGACGAAAGTAGTATGTAATCAAGATTTGTTTTTTTTTGTTTTATGATATAATTTTTTTCTAGTTTCTTCAAAATCAATAGAAGTTTTTTTTCCTGGTGTTGATTATTGATCTGCACGAATGATATGGCAACCGTCAACGTAATTAAATGAAATTCTAACTGGTGTAACAAACTCGACTCTAGCTGGAAGTCAGTTCATATTTGTAAGGAAATTGTCAACGATGCTCGACCTCAAGACCCAAAAGCTAATCACTTATAGTATTATATGAAAGGATAATAGTTTAAGTTAAATGATTGTTTATTTAGCTATATTTAATTTTATCGTTGATTTATTCAAATATATAAAAAAAATGATTTTCATTTGGAATATGAAATTTTATTCATTTACATGGATCTGAAAAAAACAACATTAAGGTTTTTTTTCATTCTTTGTGCAAACACTTGAGTAATCATTTATTAATAATAGAAAAACAAGGTAGACAGTAAAAACTCTTATTTACTAGGAAAACAAAAGAAAATTTTAAAATCGATCTGTTCCTTCATATCCATCAATAATAATTACATATGTACAAGAACAAACAACGTGATAGAAACCCTATGATCGAATTAATGTATCTGATGGATGAATAACAATATTACTTATTCAAACGTAAAAACCAACTCCTTAATTTTAAATTGTTTTTCTAAAGAAAATCATTCCTCTTTCAGTTTAGTAGCAAAGAAGTTTTCAATTGTAGGACTTTCATCTACTAATCCCATGTATCGACGAAGCATTTTGAGAGAATATTTCTTAATTTTTGAAGCCAAAAGTATTTTCACAGGAATCGAACGATAAGAGCTCGCTCCTTAGGTATTTTTCGAGTACAATAAAAAATAATAATATCGACGAAAACAAAAATTGGTTTTTGACAGAAAATAAGTCATGTGCTACTGATAGTGTTTGTTCAGATTGAATCATATATGTATATTTCATTTACTACCATCAATATTCAACTGAAAAATTGATTATATATCAGCAAATCAATCATGTGAAATCGAAATTTATCTTAAAGTAAACGTATTGAAGTGATTTTTATTTTCAATTTTTTTTCTTAATAAAGGATTCTGTTTCAATTAATAAAAAATACTCGTTTAAAAGTTCCAACTGGATATTAGTGATTTAATTTCAACAGAAATATTCATTCGATGGGATAGAAATCAAATTTTATGAAAACTTTTTAATTTTCTGTACAGTTATTTGACTTTGTCTTAACGAGTTTTCATGTAATGACAGTACAGTCGTATTCAACAGACTTGTTGATCTTGTGTTTCTAAGATAACGAATATGTTCATTTGAATAATGCACTCTAATCAATTTTCAAAAGTCGTTCGAAAAAATAATTCTATGATTTATGATTCAAATTAATTGCTTTTCTTTTTTCGATGATGATGATCATGATGAATAGAAATTTCTTCTGACCCAAAAAAAAGAAAAAAAAGAATATGAATTGTCCATGAAGGACTGTATATGAACAAAGGACAAGTATTCACATCCATGCACATGAAAAACGATGAAATTAATTCGTATCTCATCATTTCAATTAATCATGTGATGATTAATCAAATCAATTATATTCGAATGTGCACATCATCGTCAATTATCGTTCGTCAAATTGTTATCAACATCATTAGAATGTCTTTGATTGGCAATGTATGTTTAAAAACATATATATATATACATGAAACACATTTTCACCAGTATTCTCATACGATTCGATCGAACAAATCAGGAGCATGCTCAATAAAGATAAAACATGACACTCACATGATTTATTTTTCAAGGTTTACGATTTTTTATATTACTTACAATAATTAGTATTATTTTACATTGTGATTTTTTATCAATGACATACAGTTATCAATTTATAATATATTTACAATATTATAAATGAAATATATTTACAATGCTACGTATGAGTTTATAATGAAATTTATTACATAATGTTATGTTAAACCTTTGAATTCTATAGTAGGAAAAAGAAATCTATACATGTTTAATAATTATTATGTAATTTACTGGAATGTAGCAATAAAGAATGTTCAACGGTGTGGATGTGGTGGGTGTTGAGTTTGTAGATATGGGTGTGTAGTTGTGCGCGCGTGAATCCGTATGCGAGCATGTTGGTTTTTATCTGGACGTGCCAATGTCCAGCAGAAATAATTTGGGACGCAAAGAATTAAAATACATTAATTTCCGATGATATTTATTGATCGATATTATATAATGATGCATTTTTTTAGAACGAAAGCTAGGGGTGGGGGTTATTAAAATTCATTTCTGTACATTTCAATAAATGTATTATATTACAATGAAATTTATCAGTTTATGATATATTAAAATGTATTAATTTATAACGAAATTTATCATATGATATTATGTTAAAATTCATTAATTTACAATGATATACATTGAATCATATTATATTAAGATGTATTAATTTACAATCAAATTTATTATATGTTGTTAAATTCATTACTTGCACTGATATTTATTGAATGATATTATATAAAGATGCATTATATTACAATGAAATTTATCAGTTTATGATGCATCAAAATGTATTAATTTACAATGATGTTTATTGAATCATTATATTAAAATGTATTATTTTAGAATGAAATTTATTGAATGATGTTATTTAAATTCATTGCTTTACAATGCATTAATTTATAATGAAATTCATTCATTCATTCAATGATGTTATATTATGATGCATATTTTTTTACAATGTTTTTGATTACAATGATAATATATGTTAGGATATATTGATTTATGATAGAAATTTATTCTATGATGTTTTTAGAATTCATCTGTTTTTTTTATGAATTATATGAAATTATAAAAAACATGAAAATGTTAAAAAAGAATATGATTTATTATTGATTTATACCAATAATAAGATAGGGTATGTTGCTTCAAAAATTATCTTATTTATCTTGAGAAAGACTTGAACAAATAAATTAATAGTTGAAAGATAAAAAAAAAACTTTTTTTTTGTTTTCTTGAAAGAACAATGCTAAATTAAATTTTCATAACAATACTTATATTGAGATAATGTTAGAATGAGATATAGATGATTTATTTCGGATGAAATAAATTTTTTCTTCGTTGTTGTACACATTTAGTGTATAGTATTATTATGTTAAGTCTATGTTATTTATGTTAGAAGATAGATACCAATTTATATCACAGCCTTGTCAGGTGGCTTCGTAACCTGACCCAAAGAGAGATTCTATTCGTCATGGAATGGCGAAAGCAGTGTAGTACTCGGGAAGGCCTTTAATGTACGTAGGTCCCTGCCGTCATTATGTACGGTACACTTATGTACATTGCCCTATCAGTCCGGTGTGGTCCGCTCTGTGTGTACCCATTTCATATCCATAGGGTCTCTCCCTGGTCGCGCGCGCGTGCGCGCGTACGCGTGAAAATGAGCCTAGAAAAGTCGGGAAGTGAAAAGGAATCAAAACCAATTTATTGAGCAAGTAAACGAAAAAAAAATAATGAATTACATTTTCTTTCGAATTTTTTCAAATGTTTCTTTATATTCCAAAAGATGAGGATGAGTTGAAGGTAATTTTTCTTGAGCTATTTCAACTGCTTGTTGAATATTTTTCATTGCCATACTATATTTTCGTGTAGCCAAATATAATTTTGCCATATTATGATATACAACAGCTAAATCAGGATGATTTTTTGGTAATTTCTTTTCACGTATTTCTAATCCTTTTTCGAAATATGTCAATGCTGTTGAATTATCTTTCATTTCACGATAAGTTTCACCTAAATTTATATATGTCGTTGCAACCTGAAGAGGACTACATTGAACATTTTCTTGAATATTTAATGCTTTTTGATGAAATGCAAGTGCCTTTTCATAACTACCCATTAATCGATGAACATCACCCATATTACTGTATGTTAGAGCTAGATATGGATGGTTTTCGGGTAAGGCTTTTTGCCATATTGCGAGACATTTTTTGAAATTCTCAAGTGCCTTTGAGTAATCTTTCATGCTGCGATAAACTCTTCCGAACCAACTATATGTTGAAGCAAAAGCTGGATTACCTTCTTGAAATGCTTGTTGTTGAATTTGAAAAGCACTTCGAAGAGCCTTAAGAGCTGCGGCGTAATCACCCATTTTTTCGTAACATGCTGCAAAATTCAAGTGACTACCAGCCAAATCGGGATGATTCGGAGGTAGAGCTTTTTTCGTGATTTCGAGATCTTTTTCATAGAATTCAAGTGCTTTCGAGTAGTCCCCCATGTTGTTATACACTGTACCGATGTTGTTGTAGGAAATAGCCAAATGAGGGTGATTCGGAGGTAGAGCTTTTTCGTAGATTTGATGTGATTTTTCGTAAAATTCAAGTGCTTTCGAGTGGTCACCCATATTGTTGTACACTTGACCGATGCTGTTGTAGGTATGACTCAATGAAAGATGATCTTCTGGTAGAGTTTTTCGTTTAATTTTGAGAGACATTTCATAATATGAAGCTGCTTCTTTGTATTGTCCTTGGTCGTTTTTCGACCATCCGAGCTGGTTATAGATATATGCTTTATCACTGTCGTCGGATGCCTGTTCTAGTAGTGCCATGTAAAATTCTTCGGCCTTGTCAAATTGACCAATTTTGAGCAGCAATTGACCCAGTCGATACCATCCAGTGCCGTCGACCTCTTCTCGTATACGGTCGGTTAATTGGCGAAGCTGTTGGTCGTCATCCGACGTAAGTTTGAGTTCCACTTCATAAAGTGGATTTTTCTTCTCAAGTTTTCGAATTTCACCAATTCGAAAGACGGTGTGCATCGAGAAGAGAATTTCCTCTTCTTGTGCGAAATCACTAACCTCCTTGATGGAGGCAAAAGGAGTCGATGAGACCATGGGATCAATGGTCATTTGAAAGAGAACGCCATTCATTCCTTCTGTTCCTAAGGCATCTCTGGCGAAGCCGAGGGAAACATCACGATCTACACTGGTGGATAAAAAATTATTGAATGAAATGAGTCCACCTTTGCTTTTGACGAGTTTTTCGTGATCTACCTTTGATAATCCCTGCCCGCGATAAACAAGAAATGTCTTACCATGATATTGACTGACTTGCTTGGTGTGTAAAGCTTCAATTTGTCGATGAACATCACATAGATAAAATCCCATTCGGATGATAATATCACCGTCGAGTGTTCGTAATGCCCGATTGAGCATTTTGTATGTAAAACATTGACGGGTATACCACCAAATGGCTTTTGATGGACGATAAGTATGTTGAAATTCTTGAATATATTTGAGCTCTGCTGGATTATCTTTATATTGTTCTTGGCAGAAGGTGACCAAGTCTTTTATGGCTTTTTGGCCATGTTCCATATCAAGGAGTATTTCCTTGAATATTTGTGTATACATGAAGGAAGGCTCTAGCTGATTGAGATTTTCGCTAGAACCTCCTTCATTGACACTGATAATACTGACCGTTACTTGATCTTGATTGCATTTTTTGACAGCTAATGCCAATTTTCCACAGATGTGCTTGATCGATGTATGCACACCTTTAATTTTGGGCCAATTTTTAGCCCATTCTTGGTGACGTTGCTTGTGGCCACAAAAAATGTATATGGCATCCAGTTTTGGCATGCCATGAATTTCTGGTACCAGGTGTTGTCCTAATGCACCTGAGGAGATGACGAATGATGTCTCCTCATTGTTTTCCTGGAGTTTCTGGATACATTGGTCGGCCGTGGTGCATGGATTAACTTCATTAACAACACTGCGCAATTGCGCGAGTGTATTCTGGTAATCTTCATTTGCCATGTTGATATTGCTGTCGACCCAGATGACCAGGTAATTTTCAGCCATTCGTAGTCGTCGTTGTTTACTCATTTTCGATGTTGTTTTTGACGTTTGCTCGACGATTGAATATTGTGAAGGATCAATTGTTGTTTGGATAGAGACCACTGTTTTCTATTTATATATTCAATATTGGATGTTTTTTTCTAGATTATTCTATGACGTCAAATATGGGTGCGTATTTTCTTTTGTTGACACTCAAAGATAAATCCTACCTACTTTCAACTGAAAATATGCTTGTCAAAAGCAAACGAAAGAAAAAAATCCAACAACATCATTTATCTTATCGTTATTCTTTCCAACTTTCATTGGGTTTCTTTTTCTGTTGACTTTTATTGACCCTATAAAACGAGGCTAACAATGCAAGATAAGAAGAAATTAAGCAAAATTAAATAGAATGATAAGAATAAGATAGCAAGAAGAAAGATACAAAGCCAATAAGTGAAGGTATCATCATCATAAGTCTGTGGGCTAGTGCGATCTTATGCTAGGATGTGTGTGTCTGGATGTGAGTATGGGTGAATGTGGCTGCGGGTGGATGCAGCTATGGGTGGATGGTGTAGATTGGTGTTGATGGACGTGGCTGTGGCTGCGGTTCTGGGCGAGCGTGGATGTGGGTTGGTACAGCTGTAATTCTGAGTAGTGGATGGTTATGTAGGAGTGTGGTTGTGGATGTAGGAGTGGAAGCAAATGATATGAGCGTGGTTGTGGGTGTCCATGTAGGCGTGACTATGGGTGCGGGCGTAGGTGTGGGTTGGTGTCGGTGTGGGTGTGAGTGTGTTTTTTGGGTGTGGCTGTGTCTAGGTATGGTGTGGGTGTGGGGTGTGGTTGTGGATGTGGATGTATATAGAGTGCAGGTGTCGGTGAAGGGTGTGGGTGTGGGGTGTGGGTGTGGGTGTGGGTGTAGCTGTGGATATGGGTGTGGGTGTAGCTGTGGATATGGGTGTGGGTGTAGCTGTAGATATTGGTACAGGTGTAGATGGACCTGGGTACGCTTGCTGAAGAGGGGACTCACACCCACACCCTTCACCGACACCCTACACCCACACCCCACACCCACACCCTACACCCACACCCCACACCCACACCCACCCACACCCGTAACACAACTGAACGATTAGTTGAGAAAGAAGATAGGATATGGAGCTGGCAAGTCACGAATGGCGCCGACGAATGACTCGCCGTTTGTTTCCAAGATTGATATGAGCCTTTCTCTCGCGAAGCTTTCTAGAGATTAGACAATAGTTTTCAGAAGAGCTCGATCAACTAGATAGAATCTGGGATCGGTGAGTCACAACTGGCGCTCTCGAGAGACGCTGATGAGCGACTCGCCATTCATTTACGAAGTCGACACATCTTTTCTTGCGTAAAGCTTTGAATGAAATATAGAGTATTTTTCGAAAGAGCTGAGGCAATTGTTGTGGTGAAGACGACTAATTCAAAATCGTACCAATTTCTCATAAAAAGCCAAAGAAATGTAATCTATGATGAGAATATTGCGCGCATACTACATATTCCGAATTCGACATTATCAGTGTTGCTTTTTCCAAATTGCAAAAGTTGAAAGACTTGTTCGTATGGTGTTGGCTATTACATCACACAAACTGACGATTTATCCGATAATATATGTCAAAGTGAATAAGGACAATGTGTATTAGTACAGCATTTATCTTTATTTTGGGAGTAGCACAAATAGTGGAAGATGTTTATCTTGAATTGTACAGTTTAGGTATTGGTACACATATAGCTGCTGGTCTAATATCCGAAGGACTTAGTGATATATTTTATGCTGTATCGGCTGCTAAAAGTGGTTATTTTAGTTGGAGTGATTATGGCGTTCATAAAATCAAAAGTATTTTTATAACAATTGCGACAACGGGTTTTGCTGCACTATTATCAAAAGGAATTCGATTTTCTCGTTTTGGTTCGATGTTAGTAAGTGATACGGGAAAACTATCTCAACTATTCGGTAGCAAATTGTTAGAAGTCTCTGATAAAATAAGTTTTACTGGTGTCAAAAATAATGTAATAAAGAAAGTGTGGTGGCGAATTGGAATGAAATTAGCTGAAGGCGGTTCTTTTGTCTTAGCCAATGCTGGAATTTCTTATATATCCGAGCGAGCATTCAAAGATTAGTGTGATAAAATAGTCAATGAGCTATTTCTTAATATTCGTCAATCTGTTCAAAACAAGAAAGAAAAAATTCGAGAATCATTAACAACAATTTATCAAACTTATGTTTCTGAATTAACACAAAAATGGTTATCAGAAATCAATTGAACGAATAATACCCATACGTGGTATAATCAAGTTTTACGATAGATTAAAACTATTGTCAATGTCATTGTTGATGGATTTGGTAAAGCATTACGAAACATGAATCAATCAAAATTTTCCAATAATTATATCGAAGTGGCATCAATATTAGCAACTACTTATAGCACGATTATGAAAGGTGTTGCACATGGCAAGACCATTTTGAATATACTGACGGAAACAGACAATTTTCTTGATAGTAATATCAACAAATTAGAAGAAAAAGCTAAACAATGTTCACAAGTAACAAAATCGAACCAAGCGAATATATCTGATGATGCAGTAAATGATTTTATTGATAAAATAACAGATGAATGGACTAAAAAAATAGAATCGAAGATCGATACAGATGTTCAAATAAATATTATTGAACCACTTCTATGCGAAGGTGCTCAAGCATTAGTAAGGAAAATTGGAAAATCAATTAAAACTTATCATCAAAGTCGAAAAGAGAATCATCTTCTTAAAAAATTTCAACATACCAAAGCTGAATATGAAAAAGATAAAGAAAATATAATGATGAATTATGAAAACGAGGCAGATCGAAAAAAATTTTTAGATGAAATAAAAAATAAATACAATCAAAATTTATTAGTTATAATAACTAAAACTAAGAATCCAAATTTAGTTGCTAGTATTATCGAAGAAGGTGGTCCAATGGATATGACATGTATTTATGCTTTGGCTAATGTTTCCGGTAAACCGATTCGAATCAATAATGTTGATGGTGCAACCTTTCCTAATTTAATTTGTTCACAAAATGTTAATCTTAATCATACTCAAGATGATAATTATCTTTCTATTGATGTTATTCTAGAAGATGGAATTACTGCATTCGGTCATTTTCTTCCATCGAGTAACACGATTGACAATTGAATGGATATAGACTATAATAATTGTTTAATCCGTGCAGTTATGGGTGATGACATAAGTGCTGCTGATGCTCAAAATTCATGCGAAAAAAGATTGCTGATGAAATCAAGAACAATACACAAATAAAAAACATTATTCAAAATGGTTACCATCGGTATTATATTTCTCAGCTTGGTTTCGGTGGTCAAAAAGACACTAGTATTAATAAATTCAAATGTCTGTCACTGGATGAAACATTTATTAATGAAAATCTTATAGGAACTGTTGATGTTCATGAAAATGGACGATCCTTTAGGATTACCTGTCTTTCGAAATGAAATAAACAAGAGTCAGAACATCTCTTGCCACAAACATTAGTCGATGAATTATGTCAAGTGATGTATGCCCTACAAATCATTGCCGCTCAATTTCCTGATCGGTTAATGGAATCAGGATTGTCACAAGCTAAATTGAATAAATTGAGAACGTCAGCTGAAGATATATTATCAATTTTGGTACCGTATTCAGCTCATCATAATCAAGAAAATAATTGGACCAGTTTTTATAATAGTAATTCAAAGAAATAGGAAGAAGCTAGGCAATTAATTAAGGCTTTTAGAAGTAAAGATAATAATCAAAACGATGTTCTATTTATATCATTAATCGAGCAATATCAACATCTACTGAATGATGAAAAGAATAAATATCCTAAATTGAAAACAGGATTCTTCTTGATTCTGCAATTATATGAGTCATGTGGATACATTAATTCAAAACAACAAGATCTACTGATGAAGAAATTCAATTTGCCAAGGCTTGGCACTACTAATCAGACCCTTCAACTATCCAGCAGTCATCCAAATTTTGATGTTATTAATGGAACTTACAACACTAGTTTATTAATTGCATCAGTCAATAGTCGAAAAAAAACGATATAAAAGTTCACCACAGTGATGCTATTCGAAATATATTTGTTTCATTTTGAATAAACTATTCTTTCACTTAAGCCCACTCATGCAAGTTCGCACTTACATTTGTTTGTAATAAAAAATTCAATGCTTTTTTCTTGATTAGAGAACTTTTTTTTATATTGGATAAATAACGCGTGTGTCATAGCTTTTGAGTTCCTCATAGAATGGCTGATAAATCAAATTTTAATAAAAAACAGAAAATGATTGACTCACTTCTTACAATGAAGGGCCGAATATTATAACTCAAAAATATAAGACATATTGAGATCAAATCAGAGATCTCACAGTCAAATCTATAAATTAAATTATGCCGTGCTTGTAGAGTACCTGAACCCAGATATTTGAGCTTTAAGGTAAGGGCAATATATGTGTGCTGTCTATGATTCAAAATTTCAAAAGTTCTTTTTATTTGTTTTTCATAGCGATTCGATAGAACTCATCGAGTTACGAAAGAAAAAAATCATGTTTGATATTCAGTAAGACAATTGTACATAAAAAAGTTCAAGATGCCATCATTTCGAAATACAAAAGAGAATATACTGGAACCTTAGTTTCATAAAATTTCTCCCTGAATTTCAAACACGAGTTTTTCTTACATAACTCGATGAGCTCTATCGAATCGTCATGAAAAACAATTAAAAAGAACTATTGAAATGTCGAATAGTAGACAACACACATATATAATGATTAACCTCAAGCTGAAATATCGGGATCCAGGTACACTAAAAGCACATTCTATTTTATGTTTGTAATTTTGACTGTGAGATCTTTAATTTGATCTGAATATGTCTAATATTTTTGAATTGCAGCACACGAACTTCCATTATTAGTATCAAAAAAGAAACAAAATATTATA